TAACTGTTAAGCTACAAAGTGGACATTTTTATTTGTTCTGAATTAATTACTATGTGCATTATCCTGTTGAAAGTGTTGAATTTCTAAGAGAAGCAATTTTGTCACTAAGCCACAGTGATTAGAAGAACACATTTCCTCATGTACCCCAAAACCTAAAACGTAATAAAAAGAAAAAAATCAGGTGGAAAAAAAAAAGAACGCATTTCCTATTTTATACCATAATGAAACAACGGCTTTTTTTTTCCTTAAAAGTATGATTTTATTCTAGAGAGGGAAAAAACTTTAATGGCATCTTTAAAAGGACGACTTAACATTGACTGACATCACACAGTAAATAAGATTTAACATACAAAGTATTTTCCGAAAATACTTTGTATCCCTAAGGAGCATGTTTTGTTTTTTGAAATATATTTATCTTCTTTCATTGTGTTTCCTTAACTAATGTCTACATCTGTACTTTTGGAAAATAATAATTACTGCACCAAAGGACGTTTCTCCAGTGAAATTTCCTATTACCTCTCCAACTTAGGTGTTTCTCCCTTATTAGTTTCATTCTTGTTAGCTGAGTAGAATTTTCTGAAATAAACAAAAGACTTTTCAAAATTACTACTATTACTATCAAACAATGAGCATACAATCAAATATCTGTAGCACTACATTTTTTTTTTTTTTGAGGCGGAGTCTCACTCTTTTGCTCAAGCTGGAGTACTGTGGCATGATCTTGGCTCACCACAACCTCCAACTCCCAGGTTCAAGAATTCTTATGCCTCAGCCTCCTGAGTAGCTGGGACTACAGGTGTGCACCACCATGCCCGGCCAATTTTTGTATTTTTAGTAGAGACGAGGTTTCATTAAGTGGGATGAAATATCATTGCAGTTTGGTTTGCATTTCTCTGATGCTCAGTGACACTGAGTACAAGGCCTCCTGTAACCATTCCCTGGCTACTGCCTATGTTAGCTCAAGGCCCTGGAGCTCTACAATTAGCAGGTGGCAAAGTTAGCAAGGTCTGTTCCCTTCCTTCAGGACAGTTACCCTTTTCTTCAGGACAGGCCAAGGGAGGGTCCAGAGGTGCCATCTGGGAACCAAGGACTAGAGTTAAAAACTGTAAACGTCTACCTGGGGTTCTACTGCACTGCAGCTGAGCTGGCTCTCAAATCACAGAATGCAGTTATTTCCATGTTTCCATCCCCTTTTCAAAAGCAGAGGAGCCTTGCCCCAGGGCCATTGCCACCACAGCCCCGTGGGGAGTACTGCCAGGCTATTGCCAATGTTCCCTTAAGGCATGAGGGCTCTTCAGTCAGCCTGCGGAGAATGCTGCCTGGCCTGGGACTCACCCTTCAGTGTAGTGGGCTCCTTCTGGCCCAGGAAAGGTATAGAAATGTTATCTAAGAGCCCAGTCCTAGAATTAGGCACCCCAAGAGCTTTCGTTTTGTTCTATACCCCTGCGGCAGAGCTAGTCCCTTGTGGTGCAAGAAAAGTCTATTTTCCTCCATTTTTCTCAAGCAGAAGGAATTCTCCTTATAGCCACCACTGCTGGGAATGTGCTGAAACTCACCTAAAGCCGGCAAGTCTCAAAGTATCACCCAAGGCCCACAAGGTACTACCTGGTAGGGCTGTTGGTTATTTCAGGCCCAAGAGTTCTTTACTTAGCAGGTGACGAATCCTGCCAAGAATACTCCTTTTCTTCAAGATAGTGGGTTCCCTTCTATCCAAGGAGTGTCTAGAAATGTTACCCATGAGCTAAGGCTGGGAAGGGGGTCTGACAACTCTGACCAGTTCCCTACCCTGCTGTGCCTGAGCTGGTATCCAAGATGCAAGACAAAGTCTTCCCCACTCTTCCTTCTCCTCTGCTCAAGCAGAAGGAAGGGGTCTCTTTTGGAGCCACAAGTCATGCTACCTGCGATAGGGGAGGGGTGATGACAGCTCTATCCCAGCCACCCTGGTGGTGTCTCAGTAGGTCATATGCCACCACCTCCCCCAACCATATGCACACACTGGCTCTGAACCCAGTTCAGCCCTGGGACTTGCCTAGCAATTGCAGTTCTTGTGACCTAAACTACATTTGAGGTTTATTTAGGGCCCCAGAGTACTCCAGCCCAACATGGCAAGGCTTGCTGGAAGTCAAGTTTCAACCACTGGGATGAGTGAATCCCCTCTGGCTAGGACTGGTCTAATCAATCCTTCTGTGGGTGGGCATCAGCTGAGTTCAGTCCAAGTTTGCTTTCCAGTATAATAGAGCAGCACTGAGATCAATGTACACTGTCTTACAATTGCTTTACTCTCCCCCTCCCAAAGGCACAGATTCTCTCTCCACAGGGTAAGGCTGCTACTGGGGGATGGGTATGGGTGGCATTGGTGATTCAAGACTGTTTTTCCTACCTCTTCAGTCCTCTTTCAGCAATATCAAGTTAAAGCCAGGTACCGTGAGTGCTCACCTGATTTTTGGTTCTTACATGGTGCTTTTTATTTGTAGATAGTTGTTAAATTAGTATCCTTTCTGTGGGTATGATAGGTGGAGACTTCTATTCTGCCATCTTGCTCTGCCCCTCTCTCCCAAGATCCATTTTGGAATGGAATAAATTTAAGTGGTAGAGCATTTTATAAATTATGATTCTATGAATGTAAAGGATGCATGTGCTCATATTCATACACACACCAAACTATTTTTTCTATTAGCATTTATATTTACACCAAAGATGACAGTATTACCGTCTAGAGAAGAGTGTGCAAATGTTTGTATCTGGGGACATTTGTTTTATATGTGTTATTTTTATTTTTATAATAATTATGAATTTAAAACATTTCTTATGTAAAGTGAAAACTTGAATTTAAAGTAATGTAAGACACAATGTATCTTTTTAATTTCATGGCCAAGCTTTTTTTCACCAATTTCTAGATATTTTGTTAAAAATTATATTTCTTTTAAATATGATATAGTACTGTATATTTCCTTCTTGCTAACTTTCCAAAGGAATTGTTGTTCATGCACTAAATATTATTCACTAAAAATTTACTATATATTTTATTTGTATTCAGTTATAGAAACATGGAATTATTCAGAAAAATAGATTCACAGGCAAATTGCAGATTCAATTTGTACATTAGAGAATATAAGAATAAACACTATTGAAATATTTAGATACCTTTCCAAATACATTGTATAGCATCCTCAGATAAATTGACTAGTGCTTGTATAACGTATGTGTCCATGGCTTACAACACTCATTTTGATCATAATGATTGGTTAAATTAGTCTTCCAAAGATTAGCTTTACTTTATGATTAAAAAGACTGCAGTCTTTAATTCTGTGGACTTCCTTCTCTCTAATGGATCACTCTGCATGCCATAAAGTGTGCTACTTTTTCACTTATAAATCTCAAATAATTTCAGATAGATGTAGTTGTTTTACACATTTGTGTAAACTTCTGTGTAAAAACATTTGTAGCTGGCAAAATACTAAAGAAAATACATGTGCATGGTTAGCCAAGTGCTTATAACTGTGGAGACCTGCATTTTCTGTGGAACACATGGATCTTGTTTACATAATTATTTGAGTGTGTTATTGTTTTCTCAATCAAAGCATCTGGAACAACTGGTTATTTTCACTATCCACAATAAACAATCCCCTGTTTAGCCATACCCAAACCAAAAAGTATGAGGGATGCTTTCATAGACCCAGCATAAAATGTGTCCCAAAACATTAGGTGCTTGTTGAATAAAAACAATGTTAGACTACTTTAGTGTTCTTTTTTTTCCAAAAAACAAGTGACAAAACGCCCTACTAAAGTGTGCACAAGTCATTCCTTGACAAAGTATATTAACCGATACATTGAAATATCATAATGATGGAGTGTGAATGCCCAGTTACAATTTCCCTTACAATCCCTTTTGTCACCTATAAATTGTATTGTGCCTTGTGAACCAGAATCACAGTGTGATAAGTTGTTCACAATTGGAAACGTAAGTCTCACCATCTGACAACTCTTGTGCACATATTTACAGAAAGGAATAAACATGAGTGCAGTAAAATCCTTAAAGATTAAATATGCGTATGCTGACTTCACTTCATCATGTTGCTCTTGAAAATTTTATTTTCCAATATTTGCATATAATTTAATGCCTAAAATACTCAATATTCAACCAGTACATGATGAATTAGTGCTACATGTTTGAAGTCTCGTAGCAGTGTTAGATGGTTGTGTATACTATCGTTTATTTTCTGCAGGCTCTTTAGTGTCAGAATGCCAAATTTATTCAATGTGGCCAGCCAAAAGCCTATATTCCTTAATTCTCCTTATGCTTCAGAGTTGAACAATGCCAAATATACCAAAATATTGTGTGAATAGTTTTCAGTGAGTTTCCTTCAAAAGAATGAGATAGTTGTCTACTCATTCTACTGCCTGGAACATGAATAGAAATGTCTGGAGTTCCATCTACTGTTGTACATCATGAGGAAAAATGTTATATTTTAAGATTGTCAGACCAGAAAGTTTAAAGAAGTCTGATTTCTGATGATTTTATAGAGTTGCCTATTCAGGTAAAAACAGACACTTACTATTTTTAGTTTTCTGGCAAATATAGGCAAAAAAAATTTAATGCAAGTTAGTTTCAACATGTTTTTGTATGTTTATTGTAAGTCTACCTGTAGTTGCTGAAGTCATTATGAATTTATATAGGCCTACTGAATGAATTTTTTGTAACTTCTTTGAGCACTATATCCTATAAAAGTCTGAAAACTCTTCCAATGCCATTCTCAATTCTTTTATTTAGAATTCTGCTCTTTTTGGTATAGACATACCTTGAAGATGTTGCTGGTTCCAGGCCATTGCCTGAGGTGAATATTTCAATAAAGCCAGTCACACAGTTTTATTTTTTTCCCAGTACATAGAAAAGTTATTTTTATACTATACTATAGTTCATTAATTGTGTAGTAGCATTGTGTCTAAAAATGTATATATGAATTTCAAATACTTTATTAGTAAGAAGTGCTAATAATCATCTAAGCCTTCATGAGTCGTCATCTTTTTGCTGATGGAGGATATTGTCTCTACGTTGAGGGCCTTGCTCTGGATTAGATTTTGGCTTAAGGAAATGTTGTGGATGGTTTAATCTTCGTCTAGACCACTCAAACTTTCTCCATATCAGCAATCAGGCTGCTTCACTTTTTTTTTATATTTGTGTGTTTACTAGAGTAGCAGTTTTAATTTTCTTCAAGAACATTTCCCTTGCATTCACAAGTTGGCAAACCATTTGGCACAAGAAGTCTAGCTTTCAGCCTATCTCAGCTTTCGATATGCCTTCCTCACTAAGCTTAACCATTTCTAGTTTTTGATTTACAATGATAAACATGCAGCTCTTTCTTTCACTTAAACACTTATGGGACATTGTAGGGTTATTAATTGGCCTAATTTCAATATTCTGTGTCTTAGGGAATAGGGAAGCTTAAAGACAGAAGAGAAATAGGGGAATGGCTTGTTGATGAAACAGTCAGAACACACACATTTATTGATTAAGTTCATCATCTTATATGGGCGTCATCCTTGGCACACCAAAACAATTACAATAGTAACATTAAAAATCACATATTACCATAACATATATAATAATATGAATATCAATATAATAATGAGGCATATGCTTAAAGTAGTGTAAGAATTACCAAAATGTGATATAGAGACACAAAGTAAATGCATGCTGTTGAAACATGGTGCTGATAGACTTGCTCCATGTAGGCCACAAACTTTCAATTTGTAAAAAACACAACATTTGTGTGAAGCATAATAAAGCAAAGCACAATACAATGAGTCATGATTGTATTCATTTTGATCCTCTTTTTCTTATAGTTTTCACTCAGTCAGATATATTGTTTTGGCAGTGCAAATATACCCTTTGTGTTTATGAGTGAGGGAGGTTATGGTGGAGGTGGTGGTGAGAAGGAAACATCATCTTAGTCTTTTCAGGAGTTAAAGACACCTGCATTTGTTGTACTGGATACATTCAGCACATAACCACATTCCATTAACAAGGAACCATGTATCTTATACAATGGTGGTCCCACAGGTTATACTATGTTTTCACTGTATCTTTTCTATGTTTAGGTAAGTTTAGATACACAACTACCACTGTGTTACCACTGCCTACAGTATTCATTACGGTAATTTATTGTGCAGGTTTGTACCCTGCAAGCAAAATAGGTTACAGCGTCTAGGTTCATGTAAGTACATTCTATGATGTTTGCACAATGATGAAATCACCTAACTTCTCATTTTTCAGAAAGGATTCCTGTTAAGCCATGCATGACTATACTTCCATCATTTCTGCATAGTTACTGTTTTTACTCTTCATATTGTTTATCTTGTCATACTGTTTTATTCTTTTTATTGTTTTTACTCTTCATATTTTTGTTTCTTTACCTAGGATATAGGTAGGTAAGATCTGATTTCCATCTAACCAGTTTTCTCTGCACTACTCTCTTTATTCTCTTTGCGCCACTCTAGACTTTTTTAGGTCCTCTGATGTTTTACCTTCTTCTTCCCCTTTGCCGTGTTTTGCATATGATTTTTCCCTTTTTACCCACTAGTCACCCTTCAGATCTCAGTTCAAAGCTTACTCTACCCACTGGGTTAGATCCATTGGACATGTGGCATCTGCATACCATATGCCTTTCCCTTTTCTTTTCTTTTTTTCTGAGACAGGGTCTTGCTCTGTCATCCAGGTTGGAGTGCAGTGGCACAATCTTGGTTCACGCAAACTCTGTCTCCTAGGCTCAAGCCATCCTCCCGCCTCAGGGCTACCCAAGTAGCTGGAACTACAGGCACTCACCACCACAGCCACCTAATTTTTGTATTTTTTGTAAAGATAGAGTTTCACCATGTAGCCCAGGCTGGTCTTGAACTCCTGAACACAAGCGATCCCCACAGTCTCGTCCTCTCAATGTTCTGGATTAATAGGTGTGAGTCGCCACACCCAGCCCACATACATTTCTTTATAGAATTCAGCATATTGTAATTTTTTGTTAATGTGTAATTAAATGTTTAGTGTCATTCTCTCCAACTAGATTTTAGACTCATTAAAATAGGATCTATGTGTTTTTCCTCATCCTTTTGTTCCTAATGCCCTGCACAATTCATGTCCCATAGTTAACACTCCATAAATAAGTAAGATTGTCTTAACTAAGTAAACATGATAATTACGTGAATGGGGGCCAACAAGGAGAGACTTGCATGTTATACATAAGACACCAGCACTCTAACAGCAAAGGTCAGGAAGTGAAGAAGGTCGACATTGGTGTTTTGAATTAAAAATAAAAACCTGTTAAGTAGTATTTCTCAGTGGGAACTGGCAATTGTTGAACACATTTTGTAAAAGTAATTTTGACTTGTGAGAATAGCAGATTTAAAAGCTGAAGATGAAAGAAGAAACAGTGATGGACAAGTGAATAACTAAGAAAGTAAATATAATCAAAACTTAAGAGAAAAAACCAAACTAAATTCAAAGAAAATTTTAGACACTTTTTTTAGTCTAGGCACCGCCAGTCTTACTCTAACTCACTTTATAAACCACTACTGGAGTTATCCTGCTGAAGAGCAGGCCTGATCGTTTTACATATTTACAGTCTTTCAGAGGCTTGCCAGAGAGTACAGCTGATAAAGTGATGCGTACCACTGAGTATATGCACAAAATAACTACAATTTTTATCACTTATGTTTAATTTTATTGTTAAATATTTCAGGGAAAGTTGGCTTTCCTATTTATAAGTTCAAATAATTTACAGATTGAAACAGTCAGCATGAATTTTAAAATAATGTGCATGAGTCCAGGCATTTATACTTCAATGCCCATCATCTCACAGGAGCTGGCAATTTGATTCCTTGCTGGATTCTTTTAATGTGCTATGTATTATTTTTCAGAGATTCAAATCATGCAAAAACAAAGTAATTTTTTTCATTACATTGCAAGATACTCTAAGTACCAAGAGATATTGCAGAGTGTAAACCAATTTAAATCACAGAGGAATATACTGGGAACTTGGTTTTATATCATAGTTTGGGAATAAGCCTAATGACCTTTTCTTTTAATTGTTAAAATCAATTGTTTGAACTGTACACTACAATCAGCCCTTATTGATTGAGTTCAGTTTTCACTCCAGTATGATTAGCTACTCATAGATAGATGATAGATAGATAGAAGATAGAGAGCCGATAGATATAGATAAATAATAGATGAAAGAAAAAGAAAAAGAAAGAAAGAAGGAAGAAAAAAAGAAAGAAAGAAGGAAGAAAGAGAAAAAGATAGAGAAAGAAAAGAAAAAAGAAAGAGGAAAGTTCTTAGCAGACTGACTTCTGGATAACAGTCATGAGAACACTTGAGGCATGATTAATGAGCTACTTTTTAAGCTAATTTTTACCTTCTGAATGGAATTCCAGAAACAAAACTTAGAAAAAAATCCTTACTGGTGCAATACCCAAGCTTTCTGCTTTCTAGCAATGTTCCCTTGTATTAAAATTAATTCCTAATAGTTACTATAACTATAGTATTAAAATAGCCCTTCACAGGTAAGTCATAGTGAAAAATATATCATGTTTTTCAGAGCTTAGAAAACAGAAAGCATAATTTTATACTACAAAAATATTTGAAATATCAATCTTCCATTAGTTCTGAATTAATATGACAAAAGTTTGCCAATAAACAAAAGGAAGCTTGTTTTCTTGATAATGAAAACCAAATTAAATAAGCAACTACGAATAATACAAACAACACATTTATTTAGAAAAATAAACTGAAAATGCTGTTTGGCTATAAAAACTGTTATATGCTAAATACAAATTACAAATGACTTTTTAATTAAGAGAACAAATGATGTTCAACACAAATGCTTAGTGTGCATTTCGCTGTATTTGACTTCTTGGTTGTTAATGATATCAGATGATCTTCGTTAAAAGCTTTTGATCCCTTTCTCATTCATTTGATCACTGATGCCTTTTCATTGTTATTCTGTAGTTATTTTAAAATTTGTTTCAAAATCAAATCTATTTTTTATTAGAAAACTTTTTTTTTAGAAGGAAGAAAAATCAATGTCTTGAGAATTCTTACATTTTTCCTTTGTGGATTCCTGCAAGAAACTGCTTGTTGTGGTCTCAAAACTCATGGGACCATCTGTGCAAATAACAGCACACATCATTACCCTGAATGGAAGTGACAGTGCAAACATTAGAAGTTCGCTGAGAAGTAATCAGTAAAAACTGACTTCCCTTCCCTTCCAACCAGTATAAGGTGATGGATTGAACGCAAATTTTTTTCAAGCAATGGACAACAATGCTATTATCTCAGTATGGCTTTGAGGCTACACACAAGATGGCAAACATTCTTTCTACAAACAAAAACATTCATCCTAAGACTGTTCATTGCTGCAGTGTTCCTCTGGTCACTCAGTTTCATTTTTGGCTAAATATTTTGCAATGATGTGTATTCTGGCTAGAAGTACCTTGTCTCTCTATACTTTAACCTTCTCAAATGATAAATCCGTTTATAATTTACAGGTTTAATTGCTTAATATTGATTTTCTTGGTCTCACATCTGGGAATGCTTTATTTCCATAGGGAAACAAGGTGAGTTGGCTTGGTTTTTATTTTTTGTTGGCTTCTTGTTTAGTCCTTTTCATCTATTTATTTTATCTTCATGGTAATTTCAGAATGAAGAGATTTAAGGCTGTGGCTTTTTGTACCCCCAAGGCTCTGCTCATGGCTGTCAGACAGAGGAAGATGATTTTATGCAAACCGTATCATTTGTGCTCCAAGGTTGGGGGATTTGCTGCTCTGAGATGGTCAGGTTTCTGGTTACTTTAGAATTAGATCTGTCCTCAAGAAGTCATAAAGATGAATCTGAAGTGAGAAAAACGAGTTGACATGCCCCAAGTAAAGGTATTCCTTCCACCCTGAAGGAGCTGGCAGAAGAAGGAAAACAAAATACAAATACGATCAGTTTAAACAGTGTAAGTATGGTTTAACAAACACACATAAAGATTATTTAAAATGCAGCAATCATTTGTTAATAATCAACATAATTTTAAATTATTTACATTGTCAAGCATTTTATTTTGAATGTCTAAACATATTTTAAATATATATTCCATTTAAATTTCATGTATTATTTTATAACTTAGTCATCAAAATTTAAGAACAGTTTTATCTTTATACCTAAATTAAAAGATATTCCCTTATTTCTAACTGTGTTTAGAACTTTAGATAAATTTGTCACTAAGTGTAATAAGTTATCAAAATGTTTAAGAAATTCTTTTCCATTAAGGTAGAACCTTCATTTGAAATAATAACCACAAAGTGTATTTTTGCAACACTTTATAATGTAAGAATGATGTAATTTTTTATTGCAATCTATGTAGTTTAAACTTACTATCAAATCACAAAAGGGATATGCTTCCTTGATACAGTAAATAATATGCCATTTTCCTTCACTTTAGGAATATGTGCAATACTTTTAAATCAGTACATTAAAATAGATTATATCTATATCTCCAATTAATGAATGTTTTTGGAAAACAAAAAGAAATGCCACAACGATCATCCTGCCTACTTAACATCAGTCATGTTTAGCACCACTTAATATGGAGTGTGTCTATGATCTTCTATTTAAGTTAGGATGTAATAAAGAATATTTATGCTTATACTGACTTAAAACAGGTTCAGAAAGTTATTACTATAAACTTAGTATAATACTATAAACTTAGTATATTATACTATAAACTAAGTAATATACTTAGTATATTATTATACTATGTAATATACTTAGTGTATTATTATACTATAAACTTAGTATAATGATTAATTGATCTATTAATGATTAGAAAAGTCAGAGACAGAGGAATGCCTTTAAGTGCATTTTTTAATTTTAGTTTTTAGTTTATTTATTTTAATGTAAAGCATAGGCTTTATTGTACTTTTAATTCTTAGGAAGTAGAATTGTCCTGCAGAGGTTCTCCTGATTTGCAGAAATCACTGCACATCAGTGATAAGCTGCAGGCAGATTCATAGGTGACCTCTGACTCTGAAGGGAAGCAGAAAAAAAAATCCAGTGGTTGATTTTTCTGTGGCCTCAGGGGATGCTTTTGTAACTGGGATCTGACTGTATGTGGCTTAGTCAATGTGTGATAGTCTGACTGGTCCTCTGGCAGATGCTTGGGACAAAAGGCGGTGTACCCGAAAGAGTTGGGTCAAACTTTCCAAACAGGAAAAACTTCTTGACATGAAAGATAGAGAAGTAGTCAAAACTATCTTTCATCATGGAGTTGCTTAAGAAGATGCTAGAAGATGCTTGACAAACATGCAGATTTCAGAAATGGACTAGGGCTGTGGGTCCTCAATTCCAATGTGCTAGACCCCCTTTCTTCTTCTCTGGAATGGGACCACCCCAGATGAGCAGAAATCTAGGGCCTGGCCTGGGAGGGCTTTGGGTCCAACTTCATAACCATCAAACTGGAGGTAAACAAAAGAATCAAAGAGGGGATTGGAACCAAGGTAGTAGTTTACAGGCAGATGTTTGTTTCAAGATAGTCTTTTTGAACTCGGGAAAATGAAGGCAGGTAATCTGTAGAGAACCTATCCAGGCTGTCTATCCGTCTGTCTTTCTTGAGCAGCTCTGAACACTTCATATATAAATTGGGTGGTGCTGTTTGTGGTTGATCATAAAGGTCATCTGAGAACCCCCCTGTTTTAACTCTTTTATTTGTAGTTAGGCAAACCCCAAAGAAAATGTGAGTTTCTCCCATATAGACACATAAACATACATACAGACAGCAGAATAAATAATTTAGTCATTCTGTGACAAAGCTATTAGTCAGTATTCTATTAGACTAATAAGTGATAATTTTCATTATGTTACCCAACTATCATGATGGTGTTTTAGTATATCAATACCATTCTTTCCTAACTCCAAGATTAAAACCAGAAAAATCACTGAACACAAGTCAATGTGACTCGAGGGCTTACTCTGCATCATTACTAAAGGTGTTCATGAAAGATAGAGAAGTAGTCAAAACAATCTTTCATCGTGGAGTTGCTTAAGAAGATGCTAGAACTTATCTGTATAGAAAAGTGGAAAAGGCGGAACAGAGCTGGTCTAAACTTTAACTCCAAAAGCATTGCTTGCATCTGTCTATTTGTGCCATTTTTGTATCATCCAGAAATATGTCTCTATGTATGTAAAGGAAACCAGCACTCAAGCTGTTATTAATGAACAAGCAACAGTCCTACAATAATATTTTGGTTTTAACTATTAAATAAAAATAGTATAAAAAACACACAAAGCTGACTTTCCACAAATGTGTGAGTACATAATTCATATATTTGAAACTAAGATAATTACATGTGCCAATTATATTTTTAACGGCCATGTAATATGGGAGGGAGTCTTCAGCAGCCTTTGATAAGCTGCTACAGCTTATTAAAACTTCAATGAATCTATTATTTGCTTATTTGTTTAAAAATATTTATTCATCACCTACTGTATACCAGACACTGCTTTAGAATCCATAAATATAAAACTTATCTCTTGCTCTTCAAGGAGAGTAGTAGCTGAATATTTAAAAAAAATTCATAGTAAACAATTTGTGCCACAATATATGTAAATACAAAATTTAAAAATGAACATAGGAGTAGTGAGCCTACAACAGATGGAATTTAAATTGAATTTTAAGGGATAGGTTAAAATTTGCAAAAATAATAAAATGTTGCTAGTTATGAAATGAGGGCATTTCAAGCAGAGGGACAAGCATGGTCAAAGGCATAGAAGCAAGAGAGAGAGTGATACCTTTAATATTGTATAGCATAAAATTACAAAGAGAAAAGACAAGTTTCTGACGAGCTTGACAGAGAACAGGGTGTCCTTTTATACTATGTAAAACTAGATATTTATGCTAATGGTAATGGAAAATGCTTAAAAAAATTGATGAGAGTGGCTGAAAGAAGTGTGGAAAGTACAATGGAGGAGAGACAAGTACTTAAGCTCTATATTTTTAGTAAAAGCATAGCAGACACCAGCTGAAAGCAGTAACTATGAATACAGTTGCAGATGCTTTCTTAATGGCAAATTGAAGGGAGCAAACTAACCCATTCCTTCTTACTAAATTAGAGAGTGCTGTATTCAATTATCATCCATTCAAGATAAGAGCAAACAGAATTATAGGGCTTTTCCTGTTCCACCAAATTTTTAGGTATCTTATGGAAGCAGGTATTTGCCTCTCAGCCCTCAGGGGCCATACATGAAAAGTAGAAAACAAAATCATCTAACCAGTACAAGTCCATATCTGTTGATTAGATTCTAAGACTGGATAGTAAAGGACTGTATTTAAATATCACTAATTTTGAGGATTTGTTACATATATTCAGGGTTCTCACTGGATGGTATGAGATACCACATTTGATCCATTATTTCAGGCCCACTAAACAAAGGCCTCAAAGAGCTTTCCATGTATAATTTTGCCTATTTTATAACTTTATGAACTTCCATTATTATCGGTTGTAAAATACGCAAATTTTTAAACCTCCACATTCTTTTTTGCATGTTTACTTCAAATAAGAAGACATAATATATCATCACTGTTACACAAGTTAAATGTATACTCTGCATTGAAATAATAAAAATTAAATGACAAACAAGATATTGTACAATCAAAAATGGATTGAAGCACCCTACATGAAAATGTTTTGTGACCCATTCTTCATATCAATGGGTTAATTGCCACATTCTGTTTGAAATTACTTTGTTTAAAACCATTTCAGATTTACTCACTTTTTCGATGATGTAGGTCAAAATTTTCAACCACTTCAAGGGTAATTTTCTCATTCTTGTAAATGTTTCAAGGCTCAAATGTAATATGCAAAATGTGAATGATGCCAGATAATTTTTAGACTTGAATCATTAAATGTCACATTAATTAATTTATATAAGTAACATTTTAAGTGACTGAGAACACTTCTATGCAGTAAGGGCAGTATTATTTTAAAATGTCAAATACAGCAAGCAAAGCTAAGAAAAAGCTAAAAATAATACAAAATTTTTTTAAACAAACGTGTTGCATAATCATATGTTTATTTGGATTTTGGTAAAAATTTTTAAAATTATCTTCCCTATAATCTATATTTATATATTTTTAACTACATACATTTTGTATATTAATTATAGTTGTGAAATATATTTTATAAAATATTTTTATATACATACTTAATTCAAAATATTTAATATACAATATATATACAGTTTAAAATATTTTAAACTATAGGACAATGTGTCATGTGTCTGTTGCATTAAAAGAAGTAGCAACTGCTAAGAGACCAAAATCATTTTTAAGAAAACGTCTTATTTATCCTGACTGTTAAAAGCAGTCCTCCCAAACCAGATTCAGTTCATCCCTCCTGATTTATTCTTATTATAGGCAATTTTGCCTAGTAATATGGTTAACAATCTATCAGCATTTGGTTTCTATGGAAATAAAACTTGAAAGTTAACCCAGGGTAATTTTTATTTTAATGGAAAATAAGAATATGTTTTGCTAGCCCTCTATTCACGTTAAAAAACAGAAATATTGGGGGGAGGACTCAAGATGGCGCTGTGAGAAGAACCCAGGATTGAAGCTCTCATTGGATGGGCGGAGAGGGTGAGTCAGGGACACATTTCCAGACGAATCTTTGTTGCCCACAGAACGGGGAAATTCCCAGGTATAAAGAGACATGGGACACCAGGCAGAGGTTTTGGATGGTGTAGCCTGCAGCAGGTGCGGTGGCGGCCCGCACTGTAGTGCAGCAGCGCTCCACAGCGCTCCACACAAAAGTGCACTGGTCTGGGTGCCCTGTTGAACAGGCAACCTGAGACTTGAGAGGGCTGAACTTGAGACTGAACAGGACTTGGACAGTGAGCCAGCCCAGGAGATTC